GTCTTACTCTGTAGCCCAGCGTGTGTGTGCGTGCGTGTGTGTGTGTGCGCGCGCTGACCAGGCCCCTTCTGTCTGGGGCTCTCTGCACTCCCTGGGCCTCTGAGTCCTGCACCAGCTCCACTGCATACGGACAGCTGGTGAGGGAAGAGGGTAGTAACAAGAATGGTTAGGAGACGTTTTAGGGGCCAGGCCTGGAATCTTTCTGGTCATCAAACAACTGTTTCATTCTTTCTCCCACACTCATTCCTCCTCAAGGGAAACACAGCTTAACACCGCCCAGCCTCTGTGTCCAGGTCAGCAGTCACACTCCAGTGATGTGCAGTCTCCCCATCTGTGTACAAGTGGCCACTCCCTGTCTTGACGCCCTGAGAACTGAGGTGATGTATGTCCTTCCCTCCCCACCCCCTACCATGTCCTCATGAACTGCATGTACACTGGTGGGATGGGAACAGGATAACCGCAGTACAAGGTCACACCCACCCAGGTGAAGAGCGGTGGGCATATAGAACCGGGCACAAGTTGAAGAGGGGTGGGCACACAGCATATTTGAACTCCTGCTGGGCAGACATTGTGAAGACCTACCCCCTCCACTCTTGAATAGGCCATTGCATTAGTTACCTATTGTTCTGTAGCAAATATCTCAAATCTTAGCTGACTTTCCCTTGGTGTATATTCTTGCCTCCTTTGTTATAGGTTAATTGACCATATAACTGTGGATTTATTTCCATCCCATTCTGTTCCATTGATCTGTGTGTCCGTTTTTGTGCCAAAATCAATACCACACTGTTTTGATTACTGTAGCTTTGTAGTATAGTTTAAAATCAAGGCATGTGATACCTCCAGCATTTTTCTTCTTTCCCAAGATTGTTTTGGCTCTTCAGGGTCTTTTGTGTTTCCATACAAAGTTTAGAATGATTTGTTCTGATTCTGTAAAAAATGCCATTAGTATGCTGATGGGGGATTGCATTAAATCTGTAGACTGCCTAGGGTAGTATGGTCATTTTAGCAATATTACTTCTTCCAATCTATGAGTATGGTATATCTTTCCATTTGTGTTGGCTTCAATTCCTTTCATCAATGTCTTATAGTTTTTCAAATAAAGATCTTCTACCTCCTTGGTAAGATTTACTCCTAGGTACTTTATTCTTTTTGATACGATGGTAAATGGGATTGCTTTCTTAACTCCTCTTTCTGATAGTTTGTTGTTAGCATTTAGAAACACATAGATTTCTGTATATTAATTTTGTATCTTGCAAATTTACTGAATTCATTTACTACTTCTAATAGTTTTTGGGTGTCCTTAGGATTTCCCATATATTGTGTCATGTCACCTTCAAACAGTGACCATTTTACTTCTTCCTTTTCAATTTGGATTCTTTTTATTTCTTTTCCTTGTCTTATTACTGTGGCTAGGACTTCCAATACTACATTGAATAGAAGTGTCAAGGGTGGGTATCCTTGTCTTGTTCCTGGTCTTAGATGAAATGCTTTTCACTGCTGAATGTGATGGTGGCTTTTGGTTTGTCGTACATGTCTTTTATTATGTTGAGTTGTTTCTTCTATACCAACTTTGTTGGGAATTTTTATTATAAATGGATATTGAATTTTGTCAAAAGCCTTTTCTCTGTCTGTTGAGATGATCATGTGGCTTTTATTCTCCATTTTGTTAGTGTGGTGTATCACATGGATTGATTTGTGGACGTTAAACCATCCTTGCCTCCCTGAAATAAATTCCACTTGATCATGATGTCTGATCCTTTTAATGTATTATTGAATTCAGTTTGCTAATTAATACAGTTGACCCTTGAACAATGCAGGTTTGAACTGCCTGGGTCCACTTATATATGGATTTATTTTCAATAAGTATGTATTATGGTACCACATGATGCTCAGTTAATTGAATTATACACAGCTTTTTTGACCACACAAAGGGTTGGTGCCCCCAATTCCTGTGTTGTAAAAGGGTCAACTGTTTTGTTTTTTAAAGGATTTTTGTATTGATGATTATCAGTGATATTGACCTATATGTGGCATCTTTTTCTGGTTTTGGTATCAGAGTGATGCTGGCCTCATGGAATGAGTTCAGAAGTATTCCTTCTGTGATTTTTTGGAATAGTTTGAGAAGGATCAGTGTTAACTCTTATTTAAATGTTTGGTAGAATTCATCTGTGAAAACACCCAGTCCTGAACTTATTTTTTGTTGTTGTTGGGAGGGTTTTTTTTTTAACTGATTCAATTTCATTACTGGTAATTGATCTGTTGATATTTTATATTTCTTCCTGATTCAGTCTTGGGAGATTGTACATATCTAGGGATCTGTCCATTTCTTCTAGGTTATCCATTTTATTGACATAAAATTGTTCACAGTAATCTCTTATGATCCTTTGTATTTTTGTGGTGTCAGTTGTAACTTCTCCTTTTTCATTTCTGATTTTATTGATTTTGGTCTTCTCTCTTTTTTCTTCATGAGTTTGGCTAAAGGTTTATCATTTTGTTTATCTTTTCAAAGAACCAGCCCTTAGTTTCATTGATCGTTTCTATTGATTTTTTTTAGTCTTTGTTTCATTTATCTCTACTCTGATCTTTATGATTTATTTCCTTCTGCTAAGTTTGGGTTTTGTTTATTCTTTTTTTTTCAGTTCTTTTTGGTGTAAGTTTAGGTTGTTTATTTGCGTTTTTTGTTTGTTTGTTTGTTTCCTGAAGTAGGCTTGTATTGCTATAATATAAACTTTTCTCTTAAAACTGCTTTCACTGTGTGTCATAGATTTTTGATTGTTGTGTTTTCATTTTCATATGGCCAGGTGTTTTTTGATTTCCTCTTTGATTTCTTTAGTGACTCATTGTTTAGTTTATTGTTGAGCCTCCACATGTTTGTGTTTTTTACAGTTTTTTCTTGTCATTGATTTCTAGTCTCATAACACTGTGGATGGAAAAGTTACTTGATATGATTTCAATCTTCTTCAATTTACTGAGACTTGTTTTGTAGCCTAGCATGTAATATATCCTCTAGGATGTTTCATGTGCATGTGCACTTAAAAAGAACATGTATTCTGTGCTTTTGGATGGAATATTCTATAAACATCTATTAAGTCTATCTGATCTAATATATCATTAATGACAAAGTTTCCTTATTGATTTTCTGTCTGGGCGATCTGTCCATTGATCCATTAACATGTTAATGTCCCTTATTATGATTGTGTTACTGTCAATTTCTCCATTAATGTCTGTGAACATTTGTTTTATGTATTTAGGTGCTCTTATGTGGGGTGCATATATATTTACAGTTGTTATATCTACTATTGATTCCTTCTATTGTATTTTTTTATTGCAGTTATTATATTCTTCAGCTCTGTTTCCTCTATATTTTCTAACTCTTTATTGATATTGTCATTGTTTTCATTTATTCTTTTCCTGAATTCATTGAGCGTCTTTATGATCATTACCTTGAACTTTTTATCAGGTAGATTGCCTATCTCCACTTCTCTTAGTTCTTCAGGGGTTTTATCTTGTTTCCTTGTTTGGAATACATTTTTCTGTCTCCTTAGTTTGCCTGATTCTGTTTCTATATATTCGGTAGGTCTGGTATGTTTCCCTATCTTGTAGAAGTGGCCTTATGTAGGAGACATCCTATGGGGCCCAGTAGCACACTTCCTGTGGTTACTGGAACTGTATGCTCTAGGAGTGTCCCCTAGGTGGGCTGCATGTGCCCTTCTTTTGTGGCCAGGCCAACCACTGTGGGTGTCCTGGTAGGTTGGGCCATGACCTGGCCCTGTTGGATGCTAGTCCTTTCTTCATGGGTTGGGCTCACTGGTAAGTGGGCCAGGCCCTGGGGTGGCTGGTGAAGTACCCAGGGATCCCAGGGCTGGTGTCAGCTTGCTGGTGGATGGATAAGGCCTTGGTGCTAATAAGCTAGAGGGAGGACTTCAAATAGTGTCTGCTAGCACCAGTGTCCTTGTGGTAGAATGAGCTCCCCCAAATGGCTGCCACCAGCATCTATGTCCCCATGGGGAGTCCCAGTTGCCCCCTGCCCTGCTGAGAGCATCTCCAAGATCAGCAAGAGGGTCTGAGCCAGGCTTTGTCCAAATTACTGCCTCTGCACTGAGACTCAGATGGTGTGAGTCTTCGTTTGTACTCTTTAAGAGGGCAGAGTCTCTATTTCCCATAACCCTTTGGCTTGCCTGTATGCAAGCCCTTCTGGTCTTCAAAGCCAAATGTTCTAGGGGCTTATCTTCCTGGTACAGAATCTCCAAGCTGGGGAGCCCATTGTGGGGCTCAGATCCCTCACTCTTTGGGTAGAATCTCTAAAATTGTGATTACCCTCCCATTTGTGGGTCTCCTACCTGGGGCTGTGGGTCTTAACTATACAATGACTCCGCCTCTCCTACCTTTTCCATTGTGGTTTCTTCTTTACATCTTTAATTGTGGAAAAATCTTTTCTGCTAGCCTTCAGATCATTCTCATAGATAATGGTTCTGTTAATGGTTGCACCCCTAGTGTGCCTGAGGAAAGAATTGATCTCAGGGGTTCCTACTCTGCCATCTTGGCCACTCCTCCCATAATTCATAATTGCCAGCCATTTCAGGAACATTGGTCTGTATCATGAAAAATGTCTTTTGTGTCTACGTAGCTTGTGAACTTGGGCAAGATATTGTCTATCCGTGGGCCCCAATTCCCCCCCACGTGAAATGGTGAGTTAGAAATAGATGGCTGAATTTCCTTTCAGGTGTGATTATCTGTGAGTCTATGTTGTGCCTGTCCCCAGGATGTCAGAAACACCTGTCATGTAGTATTTGAGAACAACATTAGAGGAATACTCAGGAAGGCATGAGATATTTCTGGATGCTTTTCCATCGGAGTCCAAATGAAAGGGACTCGTCAGGAAGACCCCTAAGAAATCTCAATTGGCTGTTGAGCTGGTACCCTGATGTACTCATGAGCATGGCCAGACTCTTTTTGGGAAAATTCAGATTCATACAACGACTCTCTCTCTTAATCCTCACCAGGACCTGTGAAGGGCCCACGCATTCTGCACACAAGAACTACAGGTGCAGAGGCGAAGCTCCTTGTGCAGAGCTGGACTCCAACCTCGTGGGATCTCGAGGCCCTTCAAAAGGGCAGAGGTGATAGCCCTACAGAAAAGGGATGGGCTGTTTGGGGGTCCCTGCTAGTCCTGGTGTTTCTTTTTTGTCTACTGTGGGTGCCCTATAAGGCACAATGCCTGCTATAACCAGCATTACCCTGCCTCCCTGCTCACTTCCTGCTTCTGGAAGGAAGCAGTTTCAAGCTGGTTGGTGTGTGCATGTGGGACATGACCCACAGGCTGGCCTTGAGGCTCTGCCAGGAGATGGGGACAGCCACATCAGGCAGCTGGCCTCTGCTGGGACCTCCTTCTCAGGGCAGACTGAGTGCTGCTTGGGCTCTCAAAGTCACACTGTGACTGTTCAGAATCATGCATAGGTCGAGGGAAGGCAGGCTCTCCCAGCTTTCCAACCTCAGCTTCCTCTTCCAAACCTGGGTCCTTACATTTTCTGATCATGTCAGCAGAAAGGTTTGGGGCATGTACCCCCAAAGTAGGTATACATTTCATTTTCTCCAAACACAACTGTGTTAGTATATTTTGTATGCTAAAACTGTATGCAAAATAAAGACTAAAGAGATAAATTAAATAATATTTTGAAATAACATTTATTAAGAGTCAAAAAACAGTTTTTCCTCAGTGAGGGAAAGTGTTTGAATATCTTTTATTTTTGTTTGACATCTTGGCTCCGCTCTGAGTGATGGGGTGATTCAAAGGCCCAGGTTAAGTCCAGTTTATTTGGATACTTAGGTTTAATGGCTGCCACCCATAAAGAAGATACACTGGGTCCAAGTGGAGGCCACTCATGGTTGATGGTATGTACTAGGCCTTCACTAAGCCTTATTGCCCATCTTTCAGTTATGTCTACTGATTATACAAGGACCCCCACTGAAATCTGGTAGCTAAATTCCTACCTTTCTTGCATTGATCATCGAAGTTCTTAAAACTAATTGGATTGCTTTTACGTATGCATTGTTTAGAAATTTTACAAACAGGGTGGAGAGGATTTTTTTAGTATCAGCTTTATTGAGATATAGTTCACCTACCATACAATTCACCCATTTAAAGTACACATTTTAATAGGTTTTAGTATATTCACAGAGTTGTACAACCCTCACCACAATCGATTTAGAATCTTTTCATCACCCCAAAGAGAAACCCTGTTCCCATAGCAGCCACCCCTCCTTCCTCCCCTCCCCCACACCCTAGACAACCACTCATCTTCTTTCTGTCTCTATGGATTTACCTGTTCTGGACACTCCATATAAGTGGAAGCATACAACGTGTGGTGTTTTGTGACTGGCTTCTTCCACTTAGCGTAGTGTTTTCAAGGTTCATTCATGTTACATCATGCATCATTCAATTTTATGGCCAAAAAAATTTCATGATATTGATATATCACATTTAAAAAATCCATTATCAGCAATGGACATTTGGGTTGTTTCCACTTTTGGCTATTATGCTATGAACATTCATGTACAATCTTCTGTGTGGACACATTTTCATTTCTCATGGGCATATACCTACGAGTAGAATTGCTGGGCCATATGGTAACTTTATGTTTTATCTTTTTGGGGAAAGAACTGCCCAACTGTTTTCCAAAGAGGCTGCACAATTTTATATTCCACCAGCAACATATGAGGCAATTTCAGCAACATGTCCAATTTCTCCACATTTTGTCAACACTTATTATTGTCTGTCTTCTTGATTACGGACACCCTGGTGGATGTGAAACAGTACCTCACTGTGGTTTTGATTTGCATTTCCCTAATTACTAATGATGTTCAATATGTTTTCCTGGGCTTATTGGGCACTTGGTTATTTGTTTGGAGAAATGCCTATTCAAGTCTTTTGCCCATTTTTAAATTGGGTTGTTTGTCTTTTCATTGTTGAATTGTAAGCATTCTTAGTATGTTATATGATATCAGATGTATGATTTGCAAATATTTTTCCTTATCCTTTGGGTTGTCTTTTCATTTTCTTGCTACTTCTAAGGTTTTAAAGCATACAGACAGAGGGGTTTCTGTAGCTGTCACTCTTAGATGGTTTTCAGGAATGAAGTCACATAATGAGGGGAACATTTCCAAACATCAGTTTTAAAAATGCCTCCTCCAATACACAATTTTCTTTTTATAAGAGTTATTTTCTCACTCCCAGTTACAACTGTATTTTTACCTTATAGACCAAGAGTATTTTTATTTTTTTTACTTTACTTTTTAAAATTGAAGTATAATCAGGTACAACATGTGACTAAGACTGTTTAAAAAAATTATTTACGTAGCTTAATAATATCCACTGGCAAGCATACTGTTGGGTGCCACTTGTCATCATAGAAAGTGCTAGCCAATTTGGAGCACCTTGAACAAGGAAATGGTTGGTTTGACAAGTCTTTTAAGTATCTTGTTATGAGGCAACCACTGTGATACAAAAATTTCATGTTCGCTCAAATTGAAAGTGTAAAGTTCTTGTTTTTATAAAATTCTCCACCTCGGTGACATACAGCAGCCCTTGATACATGTGATGTCAACCTCCATGCCTCAGTTACTTGTCTCCAAGTGAGGTGTTCTATTTGTAAGCCTGACCCCATAATTTCTTTTATTAACAAAAATTTAATTCTGGCTAAAGCAGCAGCTTTCTCCCAGGCTGTACCTTACACAGTCTTCCCATAAGATGCTACTTTTTTTGTTGTTGTTGGGTAGGGGAAGGTAATTTGGTTTGTTTGTTTGTTTGTTTGTTTGTTTATTTATTTATTTTAGAAGAGGTACTGGGGATTGAATCCAGGACCTCATGGATGCTAAGCATGTGCTCTACCACTTGAGCTATACTCTCCTCTCATAAGATGCTATTTTATTAAAGATGTCATTTATTGCTGAGTGCATCTTCTCCAGGACATTTTTTTTGTAGCTCATTCACAAAAAAAAATTTTTAAGATATGTTTTATTATTCATAGAGTGTAACAAATACTGTAAGCTGAGATCTGTTGGGGACATCTGTACTTTCATCTAATTGTATAATAAATCCCCTCAACTAATTAATTTGTTCTAATGCTTGCAGGCTTCAAATGCTCACCAGGATTTGAATATATTTTAGTTTGTTGCCATGTTGTTGTTGTCGTTTAAATATCTCATTTCAGTCATTTTTTCCCCAACAGGGGAAAAATAAGTGTTTTTCAAATGTGATTTTTTTGATCTACTGCAATGAAATGAGAAACCTTGACAGAAGTTTTAAAATTTATCATTAAGTCCAGTGAGGTTTTTCAAAGGCAGTGGATTAAATATTCTCTCACTTTAAACATTACTGAAGACCTGACAAAGGTCTATCCTTGTATCCAGAGTCTTGTTTAGTTTTCAAACATCCTGATAATCATGATGGTTTCATGTTTTCATGAGCCAGTATCTCAGCATAATACACTCTTCATGGAGATTAAGAGTGACTGTAAATCCATTCTTCAGGTCATCGTCTTGATTATTTAAATATTTGTTGCTGATTTTCCATCAGGTCTGATTAGACTGTCTCTGTTTTTACTCATCAATGTGGCTGATGAAGGATTTGTATCAGGGTTGGGAAGAAGGTCATCTCTGACATTTTCTGGTCGTTCCCTGGGCTTGCATGGTTAACTTTATCCTCGCTCCATTGTCTTCTTGCAGGAATCTTCTACGGCCATTTTGTAAGAGGGAATCTTGACAGAACCAGACAATCTAACTGGGCAACGTACCTACATCCCACAGCAGGAGTGAAGGAGAATCTCGCGCCAGCTCTTCCAGGGTTCCTTAGGGGCCTGTGTGTGGCATCCAACCTGGGACAATCGGAGGTACAGAAACAGAAAGAGCAGCTGCTTCCATCATAGAGTAAATAGCGTAAAACTTCCTCTCAGTTTGTAAGATAAACATTAAGTAAATATCTAACATTTCCTTCCATCTCTGGTGGATGGCCATGACTAGTTCTGAGGTCCACACGCCTACTCTGGAGACCATCTGCTTTAAACATTAGACCAAAGTTCCTTTTTAAGACAAAGATCACAAACACATCTGATATATAGCTGTTTTTCAAAAAAAAAAGCCTAAACCTCCCCAAAGGCATGTGGGAGTACCTCTATTTGAAAAATGCATAATGTAATCGTCTGGAAACCTCATTTTTTTTAAACAAAATAGTCTAAATAGATAAGGGAATCTTGTGATCCTATGATAAATGAACCCATTGTGTAAAACAAATGATCATCCCTAAATGTGTTTCATAGTTTGGGGCTTTTTTTTAACCCCCAGGTACAGAGGGCAGAGCTAATCACATTTCTTGGCTCAGGCCACGATGTCATCAGTTTTTTGCTCATGATCCAAACCTAGTTCCTAATTTTCATTACTCATTCTCTTTCATAGGCATTTTCCACTCCCATTTTTCTCCCTTGATAGGCAACCATTCCCTTTTTTTGATCTATATCTGTATCTGTCCTTTTGATCGTTAACAACATATCATTTATAAAATATATAGTTCATGCATAAGCTGTGTATAAATATAATTTATAAGTCAGGTTGGTAGTTCTGTGTGCATGTGCTTTTTAATTTACATAAATGAATGTGCTCTGTCTAGGTCTAATCCTGTTTCCTTTTTACTTAATACGATATTACGGAGGTCTGTCCACGCTGCACGGGATTTCACGAGCTTCCTCCTCATGCAATATATTGCTTCACCTAAAAATGAATACCTAGATCACCCCTGATTGTCCAGCATCACAAAAAACTGAGGTGAACACCTATGCACTGATCCCCTTCGAGGACACCTGGGAGAACTCGCTGTAGACTGAAGGCTTGTGTTCCAAAATTCGTATGTTAAAATCATAACCCCCAAGGTGATTGTGTTCGAAGGTGTGAATGGGATTAGGGCCCTGATACAGGAGACCCCAGAGAACTTCCCTGCCCCATGTGAAAGGCATGTGAGGACATGGAGAAGACAATCATCTATGAACCAGGAAGCAGCCTCACCAGACACTGACTTTGCTGGTGCCTTGATCTTGGACTTCCCAGCTTCCAGACTGTGAGAAATACAGTCCTGTTGTTTATCAGCTAACTAGTTTATGGCATTCTGTTGTAGCTGTCCAAATGGGCTAAGGCAAGACTCCTCAGGAGCTGGATTGCCAGGTCATAAAGTACTCTTATGAGTTCTTACTTTAAGAATCACAGCCACCATGCTAGTTCCAGATGACTGCACCAGTTCCCTCCCCTTTTTAAATTGTGGCCAATCTGATATGCATAACATGATGTTTTCTTGTATAACTTTCATTTTTCTGAGACTAATGCATTTGAATATCTCTTCCATGTGCTTCTCCATCCTTTTCTGTAAATTGCCCATTTCTGTAATTTGCACGCATGCTATTTTTCTGTGGGGCATCCCTGTTTCTGCTGGTTGGTTTGCAGGAGTTCCTAGTATCTTCTAGATAGTAGTCCTTCTGTGATCTTGGACATGGCACCTATCTTGTCTCTGCAGAGTGGCCATGAAGCACACTGTTAAGAACATGGCTCTCGGGGGAAGGCAGAGCTCAGTGGTAGAGTGTGTGCTTAGCATGCACAAGGTCCTGGGTTCAGTCCCCAGTACCTCCATTAAGTAAATAAAAAAATAAAAACCTAATTACCCCCCTCCCCAAAATAATTAAAAAAAAAAAGAATGTGGCTGTCAATGTTTGCACCTTGATGGCTGGCTTTCCATTCTGGCCACACAATTACCCAAGTGACCCTGGGCTAATTAACCACTGTGCATTTTGGTAACTTATCTGTCAAATGAGGATACTAATAGCACAAACTTCATGGGGCTGCTAAGAATATTAAATCAGTCAGTATTTTAAAGCCCTTAGAACAGTCTCTGGTGCACAGTATGCATTATGTAAGTGTCTGTTAAATTAGTACAAAACATTACCTTGGCTCTGGAGTTCTCGGGTGAACAGAACTCCTTAATTTCAATGTAGTCACATTTGTCAATAATTTCATTTATATGTTGTGCTTTGGGGAATCTATTCAACTTGTTCCTCCCCACTCCTAGTCACAGAGGTACCCTCCTACGTTATCTTCTATAAGGCGTATGGTGTTACTGTCCACATTGGGGGTGTTGAACCACCTGGCTCTGGCCATTTTATACAGCTTCTGGTGCTTCTGGTGAGCATCTGGTTTTACTTTATTGCCACCGAGGGGGTCAGTTTCCAGCCCCATCTCAGACTGTCCTGGCCTCAGCCACTGCCGTCCACCTTGTCACAGCCCCACACACGCACCAGGACTGGTCCGAGCTCTCCGCTAAGCTTGTCCTGATTACTGCTGTTGAATCATCATCATGGTGCCTCATTAGTGGGGCCTTAGGAGAGGTACTACTATCTGGCAGGTCAAGTCCTTGCTCTTTGCCCTTCTTTTTCGATACAGATTTAGTGCATATGAACATTGTTCTTCCATATACACTTCAGCGTGTGTTTATCAAAGTCCTCAAAAACTTCGACTGTAAATTTTATTGCCAAGGCATTGAATTCATACACTAATTTGGAGGGAGAGTAAATACCTTTTTAATATTATGTTTACCCAACTCAGAGAATGGAGTGTTACCCTATTTAATTAGATCTTTTAAAATGTCCTTTAAGAGAGTTTGTCTGCTCTCCATGAAGGTCTTAGATATTAAGTTCATTCCTGAATATAATATAATTTTTGCCACTATCATGAGTCATCTTTCTATTACGATGATGATACTTCTGTTGATTATTGTTGGTAACGGAAAATTCCATAATGATTTTTGTAAGTTTTTCTTGTCTCTGGTAATTTTTATGAGCTGCATTTCTTTTGTCTTAATATAGCTGATCCTATTGTCTGCAAATAATGGTAGTTTTCCTTTCCTTTTCAGATCTTACGCCCTTAAAAGACATTTTCCTCTACTGTTGGCTGCGACCCCTAGGGCTGTGTTACAGTTATTATAGATTCCACACTTGCTTGAAAAGAGTGTGTCTTCTCTTTGTTAGGTGTTGAATCCTATCTAGAGCTGATATTTCAAGCTTTCTACACATGTTTTCTCATGACTTTTGCCTTCTTGAGCCATTAGAGTTTGGGAAAGGTGTGCTAAATCACCAGCCCTGGTGTGACCTGGAATGAATGTTTATTTTTTATCCCCCCCCCCCATGTTTAAAAGGTGAAAAACAAGCCTTGATCTCTACTCTTTGTCTATTGACTTTGGTTTTTAGGAGCAATGCAGGGGATGAGAACAGAATTCTGTAGGTCTGAGATGGAGAAAGGCTCTGTACCTTTCTTCTCTGAAATAGTCCAGGAAGTGATTTGAGGTCTGTGGTACCCTCAAGAGCAGAGAAGGGACCCAGTTTTGTAGACAGAACCTAGGAAAGGTGACAAGACCTCAGAGAGGGTATTTATGAAGAGATGTCCAAAGACAGTCTCTAAGAGATGGCTGAAAAGCAGCACAAAGATTCCTATGCCTTTATGCATTAGGAAGAAGAGGCAGAGAGAGCCACCAGTCCTGGAGGAGCTGCAGAAAGAGGACAAAGGGCATCACAGTGATGACTGGTGTGGACAGATTAAAAGTCCAGGCAGCATGCCCGCCGCTGGGGTTTGACCTGTGTAAGCTCTCATCAAATCTGAGACACAAACTGGAGAAAGGAGAGGAAACACGTAAAGTTTCTTCTAGACTAGCAGAATAGAAGCTTGGAATCCAGTTTAGGCTGAGTTATAAAACAGGAAAGTTAAATTTATTTCACATCTGGATTTGAGGCCTCAGATTCACAATAGCTGAACAGCCACTTACGCTGCTGGGAAGCTTCCTGCATTTATGTCTTGAGTCTCCACCCAGGTGCACATAGCGAGACCGAAAGCTGTCTTATGCATCCTTATATTTCCTTCAGAATTTAATGGTTTTTCAGTCATTTAACATACTTGTAAAGCATGCATGGGTTTCCAGAACTGTTTAGTTCCTGAGGGTACATCTTCGAGTAAAACTGCGGATGTTCCTGGTTTCATGGAGATCACAGTCTATTACAAGAGATGGACAGTATTCTGATGGCCCCCAGAAGACTGAGATCCACCTCGTTTAGGGACTCAAGATCACAGAAGGTCTCCTGGTCAGATCTCAGAACCAACTGCTTTATCTCCTCTGTCCTAGGATGTTCTGCTCCTGATGACGTGGAAACTTACGAAGCACATGAACATTAAAAACAGCCACTATGTGGTCTGTTAATATGTGACAGTGTACCACGTATTACATAAAGGAATTGAACCAGGTATTAAATACCACATATTAAAATGTAGGAATATTTTTAAAGTAGAAAATAAAACAGTTTGCACAACCTGAAAAAAAAAAGAGAGAGATGGACAGTATTCAAATGAACAACTATATGATATTTTAGGTGGTGATAAGTGAAGTGAAAATTATAAATCAGGGCAAGAGGCATATCTAGAGTATTCACTGGTTTTGAATACATGGTATTTGCTCAGTGAAACTGTTAAACTGAATTGACTGGAACTCATGCTTTTTGGAGTACTGGCAATGATTTCATTTTCTCAAGAAAGCCAAAATAAGCAAATGAGAGGAGGAAATATTCACATAAGATTCACAAATAAGATTCACAAATAAAACAAACCAGCTAGAGACCTTATTAATAAAATTAAGGAAAGGGAAATAAAAATTTAAAAATCACACAGACAAGAACAAATATATTTTTATTAACTTAAATCCAAATATGCCTGATCCCAAAACTTGTGAAGTGTTACAACATTGTGAAACAAAAAAATAGATTTTGGATCTGAATTCCTGTTTCAGTTAGGTTTCCTCAAGCAAGTTCCTTAACCTTTCTTAGCTTTTTTGAGCTTCAGTCTTCTTATAACATAAAACGAGATTAGTAATTCCAGACTCACTGATTTGCTGTTGGGAAGATTCTATTTAATAAATTATAATTTTAAATATTATGTAATGCTATGATAAAATATTATGATAATGTAAGCACCCAATAAATGATAATTATTAAAAAAATAGCTTCCTTCCATGTGTTCCTCCTCACAGGCATGTACACATGACATACAGAAGTGAGGAGGGAAATAATGTGTACTGGTAATGTATCACTGCTTTATGAGCAGGATGGAACACAGGGATATTTTGAAGCAACCAGTGTGCCTTCGGTGTTCTTTTCTTGGAATTTGCACTTGACCTCCATTGCCCAGCATTTATCTAGGTGTTTTTCCTTCCTGGCAGGGGATATGGTCAGTCTGTTACCCGGGCACCTGGTGCTCGGGGCTCCTGCCACACATGCACACGTCCAAAACAAGTCTTTGCCTGCCTGCTGGCCACTCTGGGTTTGCTGATGCCATGTTCTCTCGCCCTTTCCAGCCTATACTTCTAGAGTGATGAAGAACTTCTGCAGCACCCAGGAATCTCACAGTAACTCCCACTGGCATTTAGGAGTCAGGCATCACATGCCTTGCTCTGTCTCCAGCTGGACTAACGTTCTTCCATTATTCTTGAGGTATCTGAGTTTCCCTCCGTTATAATTTCTTGCTGCACTGCATTGCAGTCATCTGTTTATAGATCTCTCTCTTCTCAGGGGCTGCAAGCTCTTTAAGTGCTGGATGTAAACTGGATGTTTATTTCAGATATTTAATTCAGCACATGAAGGGATAAGCCAACACCACTATGTAATATGCACAAACCACTTTGGCTCCGTGTTTTGCCTGATGCTAGCAATTTTACATGTAGTAAAATGTACATTTTAGTATTCTCTTTCTGAAGGTGAGGCTGTGAGTCTGGGTTAAATAACTCAAGGTGTGTGCATCTAAAAGAGAAATGTATCAGGCCAAACCAGACAGAGTGCCAGCAGAGAGAGAACC